TCCTGCCCTCCATCCTGCCCTCCGTCCTGCCCTCCATCCTGCCCTCCGTCCTGCCCTCCATCCTGCCCACCGTCCTGCCCTCCATCCTGCCCGCCATCCTGCCCGCCATCCTGCCCTCTGCAGTGCTGCAAAGGGATGCTCTGCCCAGTGTCTGAGCATTAGAGATGAGCTCACTGTGATTAACACACGACTTCTTACAAGCAGAGAGAGAAGAAATGTGGCCATTCCTTGACTCCATTTTTAAGTCAGGATGTAAATGATTACATGCACACACTGATTTCCAGCTGGAGCCTGGACCCCAGCCGTGTAGCTCAGTGTGAAGCTTGCAAGATTCGGAGTATGTTTGCGTGTGTTTTTTAGCTGGAGAGAAGCACTTCGGTATGCAGTGACCCAGCTGTGAAAGAGACTTTCTTAATGCACTGTCAGTCGTGTAGATGTAGAATATCAGATTTTTTTCCCCAAAAAACAAGAAACAAACTCTATTTAAAATATGGATTGAAATGAAATATTTCTGGAGGAGTAGCCTGAAGGGCTTTTATTTTTTTTAATGATTTTTTTTTTTTTAAATCCATGATGCTCACCTAACACAGAGCAATTAGTGCAATGGAGCGTCCCTGATTCGAATCCGTGGTAGATTGCTATTAAAGGAGGTATTAATGGGCTGCCGAGAGCTGGGAAATTGTTGCAGAAAAGTGTGTTTATGGAGTATGGTGCTGGCAGGCATGATTTCAATCGGATTTGACATGTTTAACATAAATGTATACTGCACAGCTCCTGCAGTTTATGAATAATTCCTACAGGCCCACTGCCTTTCTAATTACTGAAATTGAAAAAAACAGGTCAGGCACATCCTGACGGAAATCTATTACTGTCCCCCCACCCCCTGCTGCTTTTTTTTCTGTTTTTTTAATATATGGCATTTGTTGAGCACTTAATGGCCAGAATGCTCAGTGGTGCCAGAGCAAAGAAAAGGAGAGAGCTGGCAGGGAGCGGAGCAGGGGGCCGTGATGGAGCATCTCTTGACCCTGGAGTGTGTGTGCAGGAGACTTGCAATGGGATGGGGATGGGGATGAGGCGGGAGCTTTGGTGCCATTGTGGCTTTCCTGAGGATTTACAAAGCACGAAAGGTTTCTGGGCACCAGCTCCAGCCAAGGAGGAGCGCTGGGGCAGGACTCGGGGTGCTGGGACTGCCTGGAAGCTGCCTGATGTTCAGAGCTGGGCTGCCCTCAGCTCGCACAGTGCCAGCAGATGCGTTCTGATGTTTCCATGAAGTGAAGGGAGGCGACGGCTCCGTGGAGGCCCTCTCCCCAGCTCCAGCAGGGCTCCGTGTCCCCAGCTGACCACTGGCCGTGCTGGAGCCAGGAGCACCCCAAGGCCCAGCTGCTGCACTGGGTGTGCGGTGCTCTGCAGGCTGGTGGCTGTGTCAGCCCTCCTGTTCTCAGGCACTTCTGTGCTGTATGCCCCCAGCACATGGAGTGCATGTTGCCTGCATCTCTGCTGAGCTCGTGCCCTTTCTGGCCGGGAGCTCCCCCATCTGCAGCGCTGCCTGGCACTGCCCATCCCTCCTGTGCTCTTCTCAAGGAGTTGGTAGGAGTACTGTTGCTGATACCATTCCCAAGCTCTGCACATTGATTTCAGTAAATGAGATGATATAGACTCTCATGTAGGTTAGTTGAAATATTTATTCAATTGAATTGGACGGTAATATTCACCCAGATTGATGGCTGGTTCAAGAACCATATGGAATAGGTAAATATAAAAGATTACGTCTTGTTTCCTCTGTAATGTAAAACAAACAAATGATATCCCGTGGTTCTAAACCCATAATCTTAGGTATCATTGCTGGGAGGAAAGGTTTCAGTGCATCACTTTGCAGGCATGGGGCGTTGCTGTGCTCGAGGTGGGGTTAGATTGTGCCAACCAGGTCTTCCCTGGGCCTGGTCAGAATTGTTTTCCTCATGTCTCTGTGTGGCCCTGCCTTGCCCAGCTGGCTTGGACCATTTCTCTCCCCATTGCACTGCTCTGTCCGCAGGCAGCACCCCGTGGAGCCCCAGCACGGTGCCAATGCTGGGGGGCAGTGGGAGGTTTGTGTGTTGGTGCAGGCACTGCCGCTGTGCCCTGTGCAGTGTCCCGGCGCTCGTGGTGGTGCAGAGCAGCCTCGTGGCACTTGGTTGGGCCTTTCGGGTGCTGTCGTGTGGACGTTTAGTGATAATTCCGTCGTTGGAACACACTGCGGGCTGCAGGTGTGACACAGCATTAGAAAAACGAATTATCTGACCATCTTCAGAGCCGTATTTTTGAAAGATAGCGATAACGGTCTGGGTACAAAGGTGTGCTTGCAGATCCTCATGTATTCACATCTGTCTATCATACAGTCGCGTTACTTATCAAATACAGATTTGAAAAAGTACCGCAGAGCAACAGGCGGTGTAGAGTCCAGTTAGTGTGGCTACAAGATCTTATTAGAACGAATGGTACCTTCAGGGAATAGGGAATGTAAACAGACAGTGTTTCAGGAAGAAACATCCAACCATATATTATTAACACGAGAAGTAACAACCAGCAGCACTGTAATGGTGCTCTACACCCAGGTGCCATTTCTGGAAGGCCCAGGCCGTGCTCTCACAGCTGCTGCGTGGCCGGGGTCTCTTGGTGAAGTTCCTCTCCCACGTCCATTCATGCCGTGCTGTTGGCCGACACTGAGTGAGCGGCTCGCTGCAGCCCCACGCGTGGTGGTGTGGGGTGGCCTGGCCCTGCACACGCAGGGGGCGAGGGCTGTGTGAGCGTGGGGCAGACAGAACCGTCCTCCCACTCCTCAGCATTTCCAGAGGAAAGCAAGAGCTGCTGAGGGATGCTGCTGCGTTGGCGGGCATTTGGCGCAGGGCTGTTGCGGGCGGGCGGCCCCATCCGGCTGTGGGCTCGTGGTGCTGGGGGGAGCTTCAAGGAAACGTCAGGGAGAGCTGAGCAGAGGGAGGCACCGCCAAATAAGGAATTTTATTTTCCATCGTGCGATGAAAACAGCTCCGCAACCCGCTGGAAAACTTTTTCCCAGGCTGACGGCTGAACTTGGTGGGAAGAGACTGGGTGTGGGGGAGGGGTCGTTCCGTTCTCTAAATCAATGGAGATAGCAGAAACCCCACTGTAAATTTCTAGGGCAAGTGGCAAGCTGGTTTACGGAATGCAGGGAGATGAGAACCTCTGGCTTACGGAAAACAGCATGAATTAATAATCATTTAATTGGTTTCTCCATTATGTTGCTGGGTCGGGAGATAGAAGTTTAGATGAAGGGGCTGTCAGCGGTGCGTTAGCTAGAAGAGCTGATGGCAGTAGAGGAGGCAGCTCCTGCCCACCCAGACCAGGAGTCATCTGTTTCTTGGGACACAGCTGGCAGAAGGAAGGACCTGCACTCGAGGAAGTGTCCCATTCCACCCGGGGAGATTTCCTTTCATCCTCTGAAATGCAGGAGGTGCCAAGGATGTGCGAGAAGTCTCCTCAAGGCCCCAGTAGGGCAGCACCGTCCTGGTGCATGGGGCTTCCAGGTGCATTTGTGGAGTAACACAGATCTCTGAGGCCAGGCAATCTGTAATAATCCGCTTAGAGGGTCAAAATAATGCAAGTGCTAATAGGTAACTTGTCATACATCGTACTGTAAGCCCATATCCTTCTGTCCTGCCATGCCTTTGCCCCAAGCCTGGTGCTGAATTGCAGCTGCAGGAGCAGCGCGTCCTCATTTCCCCAGGCAGAAAAGAGCTTTTAATTCCTCTGATCTGTGATGTGGACTGAATGTGTCACTTAGTGAATTTGGCTGTTGATCAACAATAAACTTGGTCTTGAGTTAAAATTCCCATCTGAGCTGTCAGCACAAAAAAATGACGCTTAGAAGAAATATTCAGTGTGTGTTTTTCAGTTCACTGCAACAAAGCAGTTTCTCTGGGATCTGGACAGTCATTAATAGTTCTGATTCCGAAGGATAAAAGTTAGGGATGGATCAAGTGCATTTAGAAAAATGGGCAGTTTGGAAAATGGTAAGTAGAATTAAATTTTAACTGCTTTTCACTTCTCCCGAATTGTACGTTGGCTGCTTCCCATAGGAAAGAAATTGGAAACATAGTTGGGATTTCAGAGGTTGTGCGAAGCGTTCAGCACCATGGGACAATGTCTACAGTTGGGTCACTGAACTCGGCGGCCGCATGGGTCTTTTCCAACCTGAGTGACTCTATGATTCCACGAAGTTAGTTTGTTCCTTCATGACTGGAGCTCGGGGCTGAGGCCTGGCAGGGAAAGACAGAAACACAGATCACTTTCCTTACTGTGATGTGGTGCCTCTGAAACACGTCTCGTGTCTGTAAGTGAAGGGTCTGTGAGAAGGAAGCGGTTTACCTGGGTTTTGCTCTGACTGCATCCTCTGAACAAGGCACAGACACCAGTGAGCTCACCCAGAGAAGAAGAGGAAGGAGGAAGAGTATGGGGGGACCGGTCTGAGAATGCTGCCGTGCCTTGTTAATCGGCAGCCGATCCATCATATTAAATATCCAGCTGTCATACATTACCTTTCAAGTGAAAATGAATAACTCCCATTAAGGGCGAAATGGGTTTGAAGTCGATTCGAGACAGATTAAAGTACTGTTATGAATGTGTGTTCAGGGAGGAGGAGACGGGGGTTGTGTATAATATACTTGTCCTTACAGTTTTTAAATAATAGATGTCCCACAAATTTATGTACTCCAGGCTGCCAGGGTTCGGGGGAGGGGGAAAGGTCAGGGTATGCGCCTTCTCTGAGAGCCTTAACTTGCACAGAGCCTCGTTGTGGCTTCTGGGTTCCTCTCCTGCATTGCTGAAGCAGCAGGATGTGCTCATCCTGCTCCCTGCAGGTTGGGTCCCACTGCTGGGGCTCTGTGGGACCGCTGCTGGGAAGCATCTGCAGTGTGCACTGTTCCCAAGGGTGGGCCCAGCAGTTCAGTGCCATCCTCCTGGGGCCTCGTGGCACCCTGCACCCAGTCTGCACAGCTTCCAGCCATCCCTGGGGCAGACGCTCTCCAGGCTGTTCGCATGCAAAGCTTCGGGTGCTCAGAGCCAGGGGTTTGCATCCTGCTCTGCCACACCTGCCCAGCTGCTCGCAGGAATGGTGTGTTGGCCTTCACATCTGACCCAGCGTTTGTGAGTCAGAGGCAAGCACGGGGAAGGAATCCTGCACCTAACAGGATTCCTGTAGGCAGCATGCATAAGCAGCTGCGGTTTCTCTGCTTCTGGCTGTAAGTGACACAATTCCCCTTCTATGGAAGATAATTAAGAACAAACTTTCTGTGTCTAGGTAGGCTTTGTAGGTTGTGAGTTAGTCCGTGTGCTCATCCTCACGCAACTAGGCAGTGCATGTTTCAAGAAAAAACAGCAGTGTAGAGGGTAACACCATCTTCATCCAATGTCAGCCTCTTTGGGAATGTCCTGATGTGAATCTGTTCTTGTTGCAGCGTCGGCCAGCCAGGCAGAGAAGGAGCTGATGGAGCCTCCAGCATCCTCTAAACGAGTACCATTTCCCGGCAGCTCTGAGTCGCCTCTCTCCTTTAAATGGTCAAAAACTTCAGAAGAGACCAAATCGGAGCAGGTAAGGACAAGCACTCAGCATTTTGCACATCTGTGGGTAACTGTTTCATCTGTGACAAAAGTAAAGAGTAAAATAAATGAAAGAGGGTGAAAGGTGGTAACTGACTACAGAAGACATCAAATTACTAAAGTCTAGCTGTAAGGAAAAAAGAAAGCTGTAACAATTGCACAATTCGTTTTCTGCTCTGCAGATGTACCAGTGTCCATACTGCAAGTACAGTAACACAGACGTGAATCGGCTGCGGGTGCACGCCATGACCCAGCACTCGGTGCAGCCCATGCTCCGCTGCCCGCTCTGCCAGGACATGCTCAACAACAAGATCCACCTGCAGCTGCACCTCACTCACCTGCACAGTGTGTCCCCTGACTGTGTTGAGAAGCTCATCATGACGGTGAGTCACAGCATAGCCAGGTGTGTCTGCTGTCTGCCTAGGGACTGCGAGGAGTGAAGGGGTGACCTGACCTGCGTGGGCTGTGCTCACTGCAGTAGGCTCAGGGGCAGCTGCCTGGCCTGCCTGCGCTCTGCCATTGAGGTTTCTCCCATCCTTGCATGTTTCCTTCGCAGAGACCAGCTTGTCCATGCTTGGGCATTGCGGCAAATGGCAATATTTCAGTGCTGAGTGAGTAATCTCATTGTGAAGAGATTGGAACAAATCAGATTTCCTTTAACTGCTGAAGTCATTGCATGGGACTACATTTTGCACAGATCCTTCTGGGAGATGCAGCAGCTGATGTGCTGTGCTGGTTGTGTTGTAGAGGGAAGATATTCAGGAGTTGGTTAGCGATTCCTGGGAAGAACAGCCGGGGTGATTAAAGTAACGTTACGGAAATTAGGTATCGAGTTCCTACTTAGAGTGTGATTTTAAGAACCAGTAGAGTGGCTTTGCTTGGCAGCCTCGCCTGCAGGAGGAGAACCTGTCCAGTGGAGCAGCCCATGGTTGGCACCTCATTCACGCAATGAAGATCATTGTCAAAATTTTGTGAAGTAGGATGGACCTGTTACTTTAGTCAGAAATCACTCCATGCAAAGTGGCAAGGTGTGTTTTTTTTGTGTGTAACAGTTCACTTTTTTCAGAGTAACAAGCAAGGGATACATTGACATTAGCCCAAGGGAGGTGGAGCCGGGGCTGCACTTCTAGAACACATTGTCAGTGTTGTGCCCGTGTCTGTGCTGTGGTTGTTACTGCTTGTGCTGCTTCTAATGGCAACAGAAACTTCAGACAGCAGATTGTGGTTCAGCATGGTGCTTGGGAGCCCTTCTCCAGGTGCTGCCTTGGGGCCGAGGTTTGAATATCCCAAGAGCCAGCGCTCGGTGAGGAATAGCAAATCAGCAGCGGCGTTCAAGTTGCCGTCTGTGAGAGGTGGTGTTGTGCTCTGCCCCAGCAACGCTGTTGGCTGCAGGTCTCTCCCGTGGGCACTGTGTGCCTGACCTCGAGTGGCTGCACCGCCTCGATGCAGACACGCTGAGCAGAGCCTGGCTGCATTCACAGCACTCGTCTGCTTGCTTCTGTAAATGTCACTTGGGCGCCCAGCGTGTTCTTCTATGAGTTCTCTTTTCTTGGGTTGCACACGAGTTTGCTTTCCACTTGTTAGTGTGTTTAGTCAGGTTAAGATACAGGTAGAATTAATAACGCACATTTTCAAAACCCACTCTGAACTTACACATCGGGTGTGTTGTCAGATTTCTGCACTTTTTTTATGCGGTCTTCAAGGCAAGGTTGTAGCTGCACTTAAGAACTTGTTACCAAGTACACAAGCGTTTGTTTCAATTCCTGACAGTTTAGTGATTTCTTTCCCGCACTCCAGCTCTGTTTCTCCCTTCTTTGCTGATTGCTGATAACGAAGGGCAATAACAACATGTTTGTCATAATACTCATATTCTTTTATCAATTCACTTCCTGTGGCATCAACTAAGCAAGCAAATGCAGCGCTACCCAGCTTTTCTCTTGCCATTCTTTGGTCTTCCCTTTCTAGCACTATTCCGATCCTCATGTGTCTCCTCACAGGCTGTTGTGCTGCTCATCTTCCCTCTTTGCTCTGTGAGCCACCCATCCTCTCATTTTTCTGCCCTCTGCCTGCCAGGCTCTGTGGGAGTCATGGTGCAGTGAAGGCTCACAGTGACCATTCTTGGACCAGGTGCTTGCAACTGCCTGGAAAAACCCACATACCCAAGCAGGCTCCACGTCTGAAAACCCATTAAAAACCCAGCCAAGGTGACAGGTCCCACACAGCATCCTCTGAACAGCAAAATGTAAAGAGACTTAGGAAGACAGACCAAGAGCAGTTCACTAAGCTTTCTGTACCCACAGGCTCAAGCAAGGGTTGCTCTGCTCTGGTGGACACTGCATACATCTAAATAAAGGAACTGCCCCATCACAAAGACATCTGGGACCTACATCCATTTTAATTGTTCATGCTCAATTGTGCAAATACCTTCTGAGGATGTAAACAAGTCTGGTTAGCCTCTAACTAAATTTAAGGAAGATGTTTTGACCCAGCGAGATAAGTAAACAGAAGCTGAGCCTCTTTCTTAGGCCAGTAAACCTAACTGGTTTGCTAAGGGTGTCTTCTCTGCTGTTGTGAGTATGGTTTGTTTGGGCTGGGCTGTCTGCAGAGCACGCAGTCTACAAACCCATTGATTTGGTGCATTAGTGCTTGCACAGGTGTTTGCCCTCCAAGGTACACAAAGACTGACAGAAGCCTCTTGTTTGGGAGCTCAGGGCAGTGCCCAGGGGACACGGCCAGAGCAACTGCTGTGGTGTGGCAGCTCTTTTAGGTCATCACATCTTCTGTGCTATGGTAGGACCTCATTCTTCTGCTGCAGTGTGCAGCAATTCTGCTGAGAAATGTGAAGATCATTGTCTTCCTTCTTTGTTCTGCCATGGTAGCCCTGGTTGGCTGTTTGCTTTGTACCCAGAGATATGTCTGGGTAGAAGGACTGATCCTCCTTCTCATCCAGCTTGTGTGTGGCTCTTTCTGGGTTCATACGGCAAATATTTGGTGAGATGCGTATGTCTTGTGCAGAACCTGGCAGCATGTGACATTCGTAGCGTTGCCTTGTGGGTTCCTGTCATACTCTGATGTGCGGATCAGGCCTCGGTGCTGCCAAGTGAACTGCAGCCCAGTCTATGGCAGCAAGGTCCCTTTCGACACAGTGTCTTTGCATTTGGCATTTGGAGGAGGCTCCAGTTAATAATACCTTATCAGACGCCTTTCAGGAACCTGCAGTGTCTAATATGTCTGTTGCCATGGAAACAGCTACTTGCTTATGCTCAGCATCTCATATCTGTGTGGCTCGTGCCCTGTCCTTTCATAGCGGCGCGCAGCCCGGGGGCTGTCCTGCAGCCGGCAGCTCCGGGCAGGGCTCCAGGGGCAGCGTAGCAGTGCAGAGGGGGCCGGGAGCCCTCATCCCCTCCAGCTGCACACAGACGTAGCTGGGTTTACAGCGCGTGGCGTCTCGGCCGCGCTGGGCTCTGATCGCCATCTTCCCACCCAGCAGCCGCGCCGCCAGGCTCAGGCCGCACCGCTCCAGCAGAGAGCCCCTTAATGAGGGTGAAGTGTAGTTCGTCGGCTCAGTCGATTGACAAGACTGATGGGCTTGAAGCGGGAGAAGGGACGGCTTCCCAGAGCTCCCTCCCCCCGGCTCGGCCTGTGGCACGCTCCTCTCCTTGCTGTTCTCAGTCCTCTCCCGGTGTTTCCAGCATTTCCTTTTCATCGTTTTCTTTTCTCTCGTGCTCCACCAGTGATTCTTTCCCATCCTTGCCGTCCGCACTTCTCCCTCTTCACATTTTTTCCCTTTTCCTATTGTCTTTTCTCATTACTCTCTCCCTTCGTTGTCATTCAATTTTTCTCTCTCCCTCCTTCTCGCCCCCTTGCGCTCCCCCCTTTCCCTCTCACTCTGTGTCTCATTCTCCATCTCGGATGAAGGTAATGAAAATAATCGGGCTTCATTAATTCTGAGCCCTGTGAGATGATAGCCATTTGGAGCCATGTTTGCCAATTAGATGGTCTAAATTAGAAGTGACCTTGGTATACTGCCATCGCTTTGCCTCTCTGAGTCTAATGAAGCTTTTCACTCCAGCACCCTCTCTCTCTCTTTGTAATGGAAATTACCTCCTTTGTCTGGTTTGGGAACCTTGCATGGCGCGTTTCCCCCTAGGTTGCACGGACATGGGGATCGTAATGTATCTCCTCAGACCCCTTCTGGAGGTTTTCTTTTCAAAGCTGCACCATTTTGGTGTTCCTGGGCCACTTGTGTGGTTGCTCACTCTGAGGAAAGCAGAAGGCTGATGTGGTGTGTGAATGGAGCTGGTTGTTCATGTACCCAAAGATAAATTTCTGGACGTGGCACAAATATGCCTGTGTGCCCCTGGGGCTGACGTGGCGCTGCTCAGCAGCCCTGTGCCGATGGGGCATCACTGCCACAGTGTCATCTGCAGGCTCACAGGTTGTTCCCAAAGCCATGGCCTGGCAGGTCTGCTGTGTGTCAGAGCACTGTGTGCTGGAGGTGCTTGTAGAACAGGGAGGGAAACACAGTGCGTCTGTCCAGGTGTTTGTGGCAAAAAGTCATTGGGTTGTGTTGGTCAAAGAAGTGACCACAGGGGTACCCAAGTGTGTAGGTGGTCATAAGGGAACTTTTTTCCTTGAGGAGATTGAATTTCTGATGGCGTTCTTGGAGGTGGAGATTTGTCCCACCAGAGGCTGCCATTTTGGCAGCGCCGTTCTTCAGCAATGCTCCATGCCTGGCATGGGCTGCAAGGCAGCAGGAGCAGAATGGGGCAGCGGGGCCTCAGCTCGTATGCATTTCTGAAGCTGCTCACGCATATCACTGGTGCGCTGATGGACAGAACCTGATGGTTATATTCACACCCAGCCATTGGGCCATCGGAAGGAGCAGATAAGAGTGAGCCACAGATCCTTCCCCATCCTTCAGATCCATTTGAAAAGAAAAGGTGGTGTGAGAGTGGAGTCAGCACTGAGGGCTTTGCTGGTGGCTCAGGGGCTACAGTGCATGGCTGCAGCTGTGTAGGAGCAGCACAGCTTAATGCTGAGCAGAGCAGAAGGCGTATGTATGGAAGGAAAGGAAGGAGACAAATCACGTTTGCCTGACTTAGATCTGTAGGGCTGTTCTTTTAACAGCAGTTCATATGGACTGATGTGCTGCTGTGGTGGAGCAGTTGGTGCTGAGGGAAATCTCAGCCTGGGAATGCAAGTGCGGAGTGCAGCCATGGGTGGGCACTCAGAGCAGCCCTGGCAGTGCCTCTCGGGGGAAGGGGCAGGAGGGCCCCCAGCACGGAGCTCCTTTCGCTGTCACCAGAACCATCGGTGTGATTTCAGTACCCCTGAACCACAACAGTGTTTCGGAACACCCCTCCTCCTCTTACCTGCCAGGTGACCGTGGCCCACTGTGCCTTCCTGCCCCCTGCCTAGCCTTGTTATTTGTTTATATTGAAAGCAGCAACAACATGCACAAACAGGACACAATATTTGCAGTCCGGACAGACAGATGGTTCAAACCTGGGAGGCTGGAGCTCGTTGTCAGTGCAGAACTGCTGGAGGTGTGCAGCTGTGTGGCTGCCAAGGCTGGTGCTGCTCTGCGGGCCGAGGATGGCAGCAGGTCGAGTCGGGTCAGCCGCAGAACAAGCAGTGCTGATGCTTCCCAGGGCAGCCCTCCGCCGCTGTCCGCACCACTGTGCCCACATCCACACCCAGCATTTCTGGGCCCTGTGCTGCTCTCCGAGCTTTTTCCTCTACGCCTTTTTGGCTTTTGTGCCTGCAGCACACTTAATGTACCGCAGCCTTTTTATTTCTGCCTTTTTGTGTGCGTGCGGAGGGAGGGGCGGGAGCAGGGTGAGAACTGTGGCTGCAGAGATGCAGGTAGATAAAGGTAATTACTTAAACACATATAGGGCAGGACTTATTGGTTTGGAGACCCAGATTAAGATGCAGAGGAGCATGTGAGGTTGATGATTATATTTCGGGGAGAGTTAATTGACGGAAGGTGAAGGCAGACAAAGAACCGCTGCTTACTGCCTTCTTGAATCCCAATCAGGAATTATGATTAAAGACGCGGCGAGACAACAGAGGCCTGATGAATTGGTGTCTTTTTTTTTTTCTTTTTTGCCGTCATTCACACTTGATTGACTTCAACCTTTCAAGTGCAAAAGTCTCTCTTTTCCATTATTATTCATAGCCATCTGAGTTTTTCTAATTAAAGTGTATGAAAACAATTACTGATCCGTCGTACTGAGTCTGGTGGTGGGGATGGCTGCCTTACTGTAATGTGTGTAAAAAGCCCGCAGTTCTCTATAATGATGTGCAGCTGAGGTGTTAGATAATTTTATTCTTTTTCTACTCTGTTGGTTTTTTGGTTGTTTTTTTTTTTAATTTCTCATCATCTATTTTTTGTAATTCCTGAAGATCCGAGGAAAGCACTCTCCCTGCTGACAAAGCTGAGAGGGTCAGGGCCTTTATTCCTTGGCATCCCGGCTCTCCCCATCCTCAGAGCCCCACAAATGGACAGGGACCTCAGGCATCTCCTGACCCACCACCTGCAGCCATCAGTGCTCATGGTTACAGTAAAATGGAATGGATTTGGTGTGCCCAGTATCCCTTGGTGTCATTTCTCAGTGCCATCCCCCCTGCAGACATCTGCAGACACTTTGTTGCCGTTGGTGCAGTGCTGTAGCCATAGTACTGCTATAGGCATAATGCTGCTGTAGGCACGCTGCTGCTGTAGGCATGGGATGCTGCCCTGTGAGCAGCGACAGTGGCTCCACATCCCTCATTGCACAGTTTGGATGGCTGCAGACACTCATGAACCTTCTTTCTGAGGGCTTTCACAGACCACTTTTGCTTCTATTCACTCAGTGGAACCAAGGTCTGGCGTAGGTTGGTGATTGCTGACATCAATAAAGGAGGCTTCCTATCCTGCACAGAGGTGTACAGTGTTTCAGGTGCAGTTTCACCATGGTTTGTCAGTACCCAGTGCAGTTGAATCAGGGCCTCCTGATCCCCATCTGTGCAGGTACAGCCCCACCAGCTGGGTGCCTTGTGCTGTGCGTGTGTGACCAGATAGAAGACCTGAAGAAAGGGGGTTTTCCAGAAAAAAACGAGTGTAAGCATTTGGGACTTCCAAAGATCCACAGTGTCTCCAGCTCTGCACAAATGTTGGTGCTCAGGTTAGGGTTCAGCAATGATGATGCACATTCTGGGCCAGCGCTTGGAGAGAAGCAAAGGGAACACATCAGTCAGAGCAAGGAAAGGGTTACCAGCAGCTTCTTATTCCACAGACAATTTGCTGTCTTTTTAGTCTTTCCTTATTCATCCTTTCTTTTGTCACCTCTCTCCTTATTTGTACTTTTCTTTCTCATGCCCCTCCCTTTCCTGCATTGATACACTTTGAAAACAGTGCTGCAATGCTCCCTAGTTCAAGATTACAGTGTACTTTACGAGGTATGATTTAATTAGGGGCCTTATTATGTTTTCAGCAGCTTAAGGTGGGCCTTTCAACTTATCTACCTAATTGGTTGCACAAGAAGTTTCACAGCCCATGACAAAACATTGTCAGTGATCAAAGTCTGAATTCTACATAAAGGAAAAATATTAATAATAAGATTATTCTTCAAGTGTGCACTGCTAATTATGTCCAGAATGTAACTGTAGAAACACTTTTGACTGATGTGAGCTTTGTCTAATAAACATGAGTCTTCAGTGAGCTATGCAAAGTGATGCTCTGACTGTACAATGCTGGTATCTAATTTTGCCACTGAAAATGTTAAAAATATTTTCCTGTGCTTTTCTTCTCCCTTTGTCCCCACCTCCCTGTCTGCAGGTGACAACACCGGAGGTGATGATGCCCAGCAGCATGTTTCTGCCAGCAGCCGCTCCGGAGAAGGACGGGAGCTCCACCACCGAGGAGCCGGGGAAGCAGCCTGGTGAGTGCGGCCGCTGAGGCCCACGTGTCCCCCAGTCCCTGGGCTCCTGTCACCCGCTGGGGACTGTGGCTGGGGACATCTCCTCTCGGTGATCTCCAGTACCTGGACGTCTCGCAGGGACTGCAGTTGGCCGGTGCACAGTGGGGCTGTCTCCTTTCTGTGATAGCACCCGGGCGCCCCTGCGCAGGACAGGCAGGGCAGCTCAGAGCTGCACAGCTCACACACCATGGCGATTCACTTGGAAATTGTATTAAATCCTTGTGAAGGAGACCAGATGGGAGCAGTGAGAAGGAGGTGGTAAGAGGGCTTAAAGAGCTGGTTGGGAAACCACAAGTGTTGCAGCTGCCGCAGACTGTACTAACACCTCTGCTGCTGCTGTAGCTTGAGTGCATCTGCTCTCAGGGAGCTCTGAGCTGAGTGCTTGTCCAGCTCAGATCTCTCCCACCTGCCTCATTGCCATGCTGTGTTTCGAAGACGTGGCTGTAAATCAATGGCAGTTTAGTCGTGGCTTTGCAGTGTGACATTAGAGCATCCCAAGAACAACATTTTGCATGGGCAGAAGCGTCTCATCTTAAAGTTGGCAGGAAAGCAGTATCAGTCTACTTTCTGTGCCCTCCTGGCAAGTCATGAGGAATCTGGGAGCTAAGACAGCCACTGCTCCCTTTCGGGAAGTTGGCACCACTTGGAGAAGCGCTCATGTGGGCAGGACAGCTAACGCTACGCTGGGCAGTAGGATCCCCTCTTCAGCTTCTGCCAATATCTCACTGCCTTTTCTGGCAGAAATGTACTATGAGAAAAGCACTCGGTGCATTTTCTCTCTGGAGAAGAGAACCAAGTGCTTGTTCTTTCTTCTCCCTCCATCAAACAACACCTTTTGAGATGCTACCAGTGGTACATGAATTTCATTCCTATTTTAGCTTTGATGGGACCAGGATTCAAATACCGTGCTCAGCTGGGGAAACCTTCTTACTAGAAGTTAGACAGGACATCAAAGAAATAAAAGCAAAAACAGATTGGTGGCTGGATGGCCTTCACTTAAAAGGGAGAATTAAAGGTGATAAATGCACTAAGGAGACGTATATGTGTGAATATTTTCAGATATTCAAAGTGGGAAGAAAGTAAATTTTGTAAACTTATGCATTGGGCCGTGATGAGGATAATGAGCTGGTGTTAAAAGGAATGAAGGTAGAGGTGAAGAGTTGGAAATACCTTCCTGTCTTGCAGAGGGGGGAAAAAACAGTCCTTGTGCATTAGTGTAATTTCCAGTTTTGTTGTGATTTTGTTTTCACAGAGCTCTCTGAGGACTCAGGAAAGAGTCTTTTACCATCGGAAGGTACGGAGCACAGCGGTGAACCCAAGCCCGCTCCAGCTGATCAGAGCTCTGCCAGGGAGGACTCCGGTTTCCTCTGCTGGAAGAAGGGATGCAACCAGATGTTCAAAAGCTCAGCAGCCCTGCAGACGCATTTCAATGAAGTTCACGCCAAGCGGCCCCAGCTCCCAGTGTCTGATCGCCATGTCTACAAGTACCGCTGTAACCAGTGCAGCTTGGCATTCAAAACTATCGAGAAGCTGCAGCTCCATTCCCAGTACCACGTGATCCGAGCAGCCACCATGTGCTGCCTCTGCCAGCGCAGCTTCCGAACCTTTCAGGCCTTGAAGAAGCACCTGGAAACCAGCCATCTGGAGCTGAGTGAGGCCGACATTCAGCAGCTGTACGGTGGCCTTTTGGTCAATGGAGACCTCCTTGCTATGGGTGATCCTTCACTTGCAGAAGACCACACTATTATAGTTGAGGAAGATAAGGAGGAAGAGAGCGACTTGGAAGATAAGCAGAGCCCGACAGGGAGTGATTCGGGGTCGGTACAAGAGGATTCTGGCTCTGAACCAAAAAGGGCCTTACCCTTCAGGAAGGGCCCTAACTTCACTATGGAGAAATTCCTAGATCCATCTCGCCCTTACAAATGCACAGTCTGCAAGGAGTCTTTCACGCAAAAGAACATTCTCCTGGTTCATTACAATTCAGTTTCTCATCTGCATAAACTGAAACGAGCCCTCCAAGAGTCTGCTACTGGGCAACCTGAACCTACCAGTAGCCCCGACAACAAACCCTTTAAGTGTAACACATGCAACGTTGCCTACAGCCAGAGCTCTACCTTGGAGATCCATATGAGGTCTGTCCTACATCAAACAAAGGCTCGCGCAGCCAAGCTAGAGGCAGCGGGAGGCAGCAGCAGTAGTAATGGAGCTGGCAATAGCAGCAACAGCAGTCTCTCCTTGGGTTCATCTACACCAAGCCCAGTGAGCACTAGCAACAGTAATGCTTTTACAACCACCAACACAAGCAATTCGGGCACCGCTCCCATTCCCAGCCTGCTCAGTCAGGTGCCCAGTGACACCGTGGGAATTCCTCCCATAGGTAACCCTGTTAGCACTAATATCTCCTCCCCTTCTGAGCCCAAAGAGGTAAACCGGAAGAAGCTGGCAGACATGATTGCATCCAGGCAGCAGCAGCAGCAACAGCAGCAGCAGCAGCAGCAGCAACAGCAAGCTCAGACCTTAGCACAGGCACAGGCCCAAGTCCAGGCCCACCTGCAGCAGGAACTGCAGCAACAAGCTGCTCTCCTGCAGTCTCAGCTCTTCAATCCAGCGCTTTTGCCACACTTTCCAATGACCACTGAGACCCTTCTGCAGCTTCAACAACAGCAGCATCTTTTGTTTCCTTTCTACATTCCCAGCGCTGAGTTCCAGCTCAACCCAGAAGTTAGTTTGCCTGTCACCAGTGGTGCACTGACACTGACCGGTACGGGTCCAACTTTGCTGGAGGACCTGAAGGCCCAGGTTCAGCTCCCTCAACAGAGCCATCCACAGCTCCTTCAGCAGCAGCAAGGTCAGCTATCCTTGTCACAACCTCACTCTGTCCTTATACAGCAGAGTCAGCACTCAGAGAAGAAGAATAAACCCATAGTGAAGGAGAAGGAAAAAGAAACCCCACGGGAAAGTGCAGAGAGGGGAGATGCTAGTGCAGCATCTAAGGAGTCTCTGCCTGATAACTTAAAGCCCAAAGACAAGAAGGACTTTGTACCAGGCAGCAGTTCAGAGCCCTCCTTACTGCCCCCACGTATTGCATCTGATGCAAGAGGGAATGCCACAAAAGCCTTGCTGGAAAACTTTGGCTTTGAGCTTGTCATTCAGTATAACGAGAACAAGCAGAAAGTGCAGAAGAAAAATGGCAAGACAGAGCAAGGTGAGAACTTGGAAAAGCTGGAGTGTGATACATGTGGAAAATTCTTTTCAAACATCCTCATCCTGAAGAGCCACCAAGAGCATGTTCACCAACATTACTTTCCTTTTAAGCAGTTGGAGAAATTTGCCAAACAGTACCGAGAACACTATGACAAAATGTACCCACTACGGCCTCAGACCCCAGAGCCACCGCCACCGCCTCCACCACCCCCACCTCCACTGCCTCCAGCACCTCCTCAGCCAGCTTCTACTCCTACCATTCCTACTTCTGCCCCACCAATTACCTCTCCTACAATTGCACCAGCCCAGCCATCTGTGCCACTCACCCAGCTCTCTATGCCAATGGAGCTCCCCATCTTTTCACCACTGATGATGCAAACCATGCCACTACAAACATTACCTGCTCAGCTGCCACCCCAGCTTGGTCCTGTAGACCCTCTGCCTACCGACTTGGCCCAATTATACCAGCATCAGCTCAACCCAAGCCTTCTCCAGCAGCAGCAGAACAAGAGGCCACGGACACGAATCACCGATGACCAACTCAGAGTCCTTCGGCAGTATTTTGATATTAACAATTCCCCAAGTGAGGAACAGATCAAAGAGATGGCAGACAAGTCTGGATTGCCCCAGAAGGTGATCAAGCACTGGTTCAGAAATACTCTTTTCAAAGAACGCCAGCGTAACAAGGATTCCCCATACAACTTCAGTAATCCCCCCATTACCAGCCTGGAAGAACTGAAGATAGACTCACGGCCTCCTTCTCCAGAACCTCAAAAGCAGGAGTACTGGGGAAGCAAACGGTCCTCCCGGACACGCTTTACTGACTACCAGCTCAGAGTCCTGCAAGACTTCTTTGATGCCAATGCTTATCCAAAGGATGATGAATTTGAGCAGCTGTCTAACTTGCTGAACCTCCCAACACGCGTCATAGTGGTGTGGTTTCAGAATGCCCGTCAGAAAGCTAGGAAAAACTATGAGAATCAGGGAGAAGGCAAAGATGGGGAACGGCGGGAGCTTACAAATGACAGATACATTAGAACAAGCAACTTGAATTACCAGTGCAAAAAGTGCAGCCTAGTCTTTCAGCGCATTTTCGATCTCATTAAACACCAGAAAAAGCTTTGTTACAAAGATGAGGATGAGGATGGACAGGATGATAGCCAGAATGAAGACTCTATGGATGCAATGGAGCTTTTGACTCCAGCCAGTTCCTCCTGCAGCACACCAATGCCCTCACAAGCTTACAGCACGCCTACATCTTCAGCTAATGCAACCTCCTCAGCTTTTCTGCAGCTCACAGCAGAGGCAGATGATTCCTCCACCTATAGTTCTAAAGTAGAAGCTACAGATGAGAAACCAAAGCAGTCTGAACCTCCAAGTACACAGCAAAACCAAACTCAAGAGAAGCAAGTACAACCAAAGCAAGAGTCTCAGCAGCAACAGGACCAAGGAGAACAGAAGACAAGTTCAGCACACCAAAAGATTTCACAGTTATCCTCCCCCTCTTCACTGCAGCAGCCACCTCCACCTCCTCAGCCCCCTCAGTGTTCCTTGTCACAGTCAAGCCCAAGTCCATCTCAGTTGTCACATCTCTCCCTCAAACCCATTCACACATCAACCCCTCAACAGCTGGCAAACCTACCTCCGCAGCTAATCCCGTACCAGTGCGACCAGTGTAAGCTGGCATTTCCTTCCTTTGAGCACTGGCAGGAGCATCAGCAGCTTCATTTTCTGAGTGCACAAAACCAGTTTATCCATCCTCCATTCCTGGACAGAACGCTGGATATGCCTTTCATGCTTTTTGATCCCAGTAATCCACTACTTGCGAGCCAGCTGCTGTCTGGAACGTTACCACAGATTTCAGCTACTTCAGCTACTTCGCCATCAACACCAACATCCACAATGAACACGCTGAAGAGAAAGCTGGAGGAGAAGGCCAGTGCGAGCCCCGGAGAAAATGACAGTGGGACTGGAGGAGAAGAACCACAAAGGGATAAGCGTCTAAGAACAACGATTACCCCAGAGCAGCTGGAAATTCTTTATCAGAAATACTTGCTCGACTCCAACCCAACACGGAAAATGTTGGATCACATTGCACATGAAGTGGGCTTGAAGAAACGTGTGGTGCAAGTTTGGTTTCAGAACACCCGTGCGCGGGAAAGGAAGGGGCAGTTCAGAGCTGTGGGGCCTGCCCAAGCCCACAGACGGTGTCCGTTCTGCCGAGCTCTCTTTAAAGCAAAGACGGCTCTTGAAGCTCACATCCGATCTCGCCACTGGCACGAGGCCAAGAGAGCTGGGTACAACTTGACGTTGTCTGCTATGCTCTTAGATTGCGACGGGGGACTCCAGATGAAGGGAGACATCTTCGATGGAACCAGTTTTTCCCACGTGCCACCAACTAGCAGTGATGGTCAGAGCGTTCCTCTCTCCCCCGTGAACAAGAGCATGGAACTGTCACCTCGAACTCTGCTGAGCCCGTCCTCCATCAAGGTGGAAGGGATAGAGGACTTTGAGAGTCCCTCCATGTCCTCGGTCAACCTGAGCTTTGACCAAACAAAACTGGACAATGACGACTGCTCTTCTGTCAACACTGCTATCACAGACACTACAACAGGAGACGAAGGGAACGCAGACAACGACAGCGCAACAGGGATCGCAACTGAAACCAAATCGACATCAGGACCCAGCGAAGGTCTGACAAAAGCTGCCATGATAGCAATGTCTGAATATGAAGATCGGCTGTCTTCTGGCCTGGTCAGCCCAGCTCCCAGCTTTTACAGCAAAGAGTATGATAATGAAGGTACTGTGGACTATAGTGAAACATCCAGCCTTGCGGATCCCTGCTCACCCAGCCCTGGTGCAAGTGGTTCGGCCAGCAAATCTGGGGAGAGCGGGGATCGGCCCGGGCAGAAACGCTTTCGCACTCAGATGACTAATCTCCAGCTAAAAGTTCTTAAGTCATGCTTTAATGACTACAGGACACCTACCATGCTGGAGTGTGAGGTCCTGGGCAATGACATTGGACTGCCAAAGAGAGTTGTTCAGGTCTGGTTCCAGAATGCTAGGGCAAAGGAGAAGAAGTCCAAACTCAGCATGGCCAAGCATTTTGGTATAAACCAAACAAGTTATGAGGGACCCAAAACAGAGTGCACTTTGTGTGGCATCAAGTACAGCGCTCGACTGTCTGTACGTGACCATATCTTCTCTCAACAGCATATCTCCAAAGTTAAAGAAACCATTGGAAGCCAGTTGGATAAGGAAAAGGAGTATTTTGACCCAGCTACTGTACGTCAGTTGATGGCTCAGCAGGAGCTGGACCGGATCAAAAAAGCCAATGAGGTTCTTGGTCTGGCAGCTCAACAGCAGGGCATGTTCGATAACACCCCTCTGCAAGCTCTTAACCTTCCTGCTGCATATCCAGCACTACAGGGCATCCCTCCAGTCTTGCTCCCAGGCCTCAACAGCCCATCCTTACCAGGCTTCACTCCATCCAACACAGGTGGGTATGGATATTGTCACACTGCTCAGAGATGCACATGAACTTGATGCATCTTTAGCACAGTCGGATGTTCCTGTCAGAATGACTAATAATAGGGTGCGTGGCCCCTTAGTCAGGCGTGTTTACATGACAGCAAATAAGCAATGGGTATTTCATCTTTAATTCCTGAATTCAGTTTTGTTAGCAAAATCTGAAGTAGAGCAAAATCCAGACATGCTGCATATCTGTTTCATTAGCAAAGACTAAAAATTCTGATGCGCCTGCAAGGAAAGTAAAAATAGCTGATTTACCAAATAGAACGTGGAAAGGACAAAAGTGCTGAATGCATTGTTCATTACATCTTTCCTTTTGATATTAAATTCAGTTTATGTAATGCTATCCCAAGCTTTCAGTAATTCTGAACTGTTTATTGGGAAAATGTTATGTACCTGGCAGTAGTGGCAACAGAATCTGGAGTGTCTTGATGTAATGTCCTCGTAGTGATCTCCAGGACAAATCCCAGTGGGGTGGTGGCTTGTTTTCTGAGCTACGAGCTGAGCACTGCCTGCAAATACTCTCTCAGCCAAACACGGTGTAGTCATATGATAAATCTGCTTTGTATTTTAATAAGATTTCTCTTAACAGGAGTGCATAGCAATGAAATGTGGCCTAATTGTTCAGATGGCCTAATTCCAGTTGTTGGACTTTGTTTCTTCATTTTTTTCAGGATGCAGTTTTCCCTTGTACCTGGTGGAGGGGTGGAAAGTATGTGATACATAGCAAATATCGGAAGTGGAAAGTAATGTTCAGTACAGTAGACTTTGAAAACTTGATCCAGGGGCTGCCTTCTACCCCTGCTGCATCGGTGTCATCCCAAGGATGTGCCTGCATCTGAACTGCAACTCGTGACAGAGTGGTTGATGTTCTCTAGCAGACCTGCTTTCCCATGGCAGATTTCTCTGCGTACTTCTGATGATCCCTATTCAAGTTGTCTTTCACCAGGTCTGCTCAGTTTGCAGAGATGTCCAAGGAAGTGATTCCCGTGTCTTGTCTCAGCAACAGGCTGATCTGTCTCAGACTGGAAGGGCTGTTACACCACATATACCAGCATGTACCTTAGTTTTCTGTACTGTAGTGGTACAGATCGAATGCCATTAGACAGCATCCAGAAACAATAACTTTCTCTTACTGTACTAATGATGAGGCTAATGATGGGTTATAGTTCATGCTGTAAAGTCTGAATACGATCTAAGCATCTTCCTGGCTTCTTAATTGGAAACTGGAGTGATATCAGTCTCCAAGAAGACTTTCTGATGCTTTTTGTCAGCAGGCCATCTCTTAAGTTCCTCTTTCAACAGATTGAGGAACCGAATGCTGATGCTGCTGAATAAAACAATGGTGTCACTTTAATGAAATAGTCTTCTTTGTCATCCAGGAGGTAAATCTTTGGATAGGCAAATCAAAGCCTTGGACTAAAGGATAATAGCTGATATGACTAGTTATGCTGCAGAGCTGCTCACTGTAAGTAACATCACCAGAGCCTGCAGTTACTGTGTTGTTACACTGACACTGGGTGTAATATCCTAAAGGGAGCACCAGTGACCCATGGTGTAAAATAGGCATCCTTCTCTCCGCTTGGAAGTGGTTGTGTTCACTTTTACCTCCACCGCAGTTTATCTCCAAAATATCTTCTGTAGGCAAATGGAAAATGTCCAGTCACTGCATTTGTCAGGTTCTGGCTTTTCCAAAGATGATCCACTCTCCTGGAGCCATGATCCTTCCCTCTACTTCAGCAGTAGAGGGCATTACATTGTAGAATGGTTCCTGATGTTCATGTCAGAAACAGAAGAGATCAGAGTGAATTTAGCTGGAAGGGCTTTGTTAGGAGCTAGGTTCTCCACAGGCTTTTTGCACAGTTAAAGAACTCCCTCCATCCCCATGAAGAGATAAAATAGTTCTTCACTGTGGGTGTAGGACTGTCCACTGTAATTGAGCCGTGTTGAAAAGAGTTTTGCGTGAGCTATTCTGCCTGGGGCTGCTGCCCATTACTGCTCCTCGGTCCTAGTCTTAGGTGTGTGCCTGAAGGGATCGTGGTGTGCCAGGATATTTCTGTGCTGTTGTTCTTACAGAGGGTTTTGGTTCAGTGGCCAGAAATAGGCCAAGACAATCTCTTGGGCAAATTATATTATCAGGCTATCTCACATCATCTCTGCACTGTTTACTTAGTACCCCAAATTTGTAACAAGATCTAAAATTACTTTTTTGCGCTTCAATATGTATTGTTGCCTTTATTTTTCTCCAAAGACCAGGATGTGTCCTGGGGAGATGGGGCTACATACTATGAATGTTAAAAGCAATCAGTGACTGCCTAGACAGGACTGAGCTATTTAGAAAGTCAAACAGACTATTTGTGGCCTTTAGATAAAGCTCCAAAGGTCAGGCCATCTCCGCTCAAAGCCTGTCGCAGCAGATAAGGCTGTGCATCCAGGAATGTTACGAATTAGCTGCTGCTCCTGTGCTCGAGGCTCACGGGGCTGTTCAGTTAGGGAACATCCGTTTCAATGGCACCTCTCCATAATGCACCCTTATCTGAAATCTGTGAGGCTGCTGCATGGAGGCCCACTTATACCTTTACAAATCACTGTTGTCTCAATACAGCATCAAGAGCAGTGCAAGTTTCAGGAGGGCTTTTCTTCAGTCACACTGAATTCTCTGGGTCTGCCTCTTCCTGCAGTGGCTGTGCAGGCAGCAGTGTGGGGCTCAGCGCCCAGAAGGCAGAGGAGCACACGTGGTATTGCAGTCACTGTGCAGATCGTGCGCCGCCCCAGCTTTGCCACCCGCAGAAACGGGACCTGTGTGTGACGGGGTTGTGGGTGCCTGTGCTTGGTTCTCAGGATGAGTGATGTTGGTTGAAGACCTCGTCGGGATAAACGGGGCAGCTGCAGCTCAGACAAACCATTGGCTGCAGCTCCAGCTGTGTTCAGGTCCCTTTTGTGCTGCTCACAGGGTGAAGCAGCCTGGCAGCAGCTGGGTTTGCTGCCCACACCAGCCGTGTGCCCAGGTGCCCCGCTGCTGCACTTCTCCCGGCAGCACTCAAAACTGTGCCCAGAAGGGGAACCTTCTCCTCTCCTGCCCTCTTTCACTGAATGGCACAACCTAAAGCGGGAGTTGCTGTGCAGCCATTGCTGTTTCCCAGTGCTGCAGCTCTAAGGACCAAACGTGTGATAATGATTTGCAGCAGGGGTGGGATCCTGCAGGCAGTTCCCGGCTGTGGAGTCATTGGCCGTACGGGGCTGTGCCTGTGAGAAAATGGAAGTTTTGTTTTATTTCTGTTTTCTCCTAATGATATTGAGGGATTTCCTTTCTGGGAGTGCATTCACCAACTGCAGTGGGTGTGAGTAATGCACCAGTCCTTCAGAGGTGGACGGCTCCTATGGTCCCAACTGCCATCAGCTGTGAGAGCACAAATCAATCCCGGGAGCTGTCTGATGCTGCTGGGAGGACCAGCAGACCTCACATTCCAGCAATCAAGTCCATTTCCTTGAGGAAGCTTTACAGTGCTTGTAACTGCCCTCAAAACACAATGTTCTTGCCCCAGGGAGTTGGACAGATCCCCAACAAATTTTGAAACAGAAGTCGTGTGCACAGAGCCTCTTACAGAAAGATGGGGTTTAGTTAGGAGTTTGTGGTTCATGAACACCACCCAACTAGGACAAAATGCCTTAGATGTAGCCTGTTCAGCCAACTTTGGTCACCATGAGCAGTGCTCTCTAGTCTATGGAGATTGTAACAAAATTGGCACTACCAGTGTTAGGGGCCATGTGGCACAGCATTTCCCTTCTGTTTGCACGCGTGGCCAGAGGAACACCCATTTAGGGCAGGTGTGAGAAAAGGACCTGTCCATGACATCTGCTGTTAATCCTTGTGGAGTTTCAGAGGGATCAGTACCAAAATAACTGTTTTTCAGATATTTTTGAGGAATTGGAAACTGTAGTCTCACTTACAGTAAATGGTCCAGTTCTGTTTCCTTCTGCTGTCTCTGGCTTTTTCTGCCAGACCAGCTAATGCTGGTCTGAGTGAACAGGGAATTGTTCAAGTAAGAGAAAATCTAGAGATATAGGTTTCCTTTGAAGCCATCCTTACCTTGTGACGTTTATCTGCTGCTATCAGCCTGTGTGTCTGTTGTTTCATGGTAATGATGCACCTTCTTCTGTGTCAGCATTTTGCTGGTGCTGACAGCACTTAGAGTTGCTTTTGCTGGAAGCTGAAAGGAAAAGTGTGGAGGAGAACAAGAACTTGGTTCAGTTTCCTAAGAAGTCCATCCTCACTGGATCCTCTCTAATCAAGACCTTCCTGTGTCTGCGTCGTTTAGAAAAAAGAAAAAAAAAATAAAGAAAATAAAACCCCTAAGCTGAAGTGAAGCAGCTTCTAATTTGCTTTGGAAAATGATCCTTGCAAAGTTGTTTAATTCATTCTGTGGCACCCATAGTTGCAAGCTACGTTCCACAAAAGGAACAAAGTTTTCATCTGAAGAGAATGAACCCAGGGAACTGGAACAGCTCCATTGTATAGGAGACAACAGCTCAGAAAGTTTGGCTGAAGTTACACAAGAAGGCCAGGTGCATTGTGTGTGCTGAGCTCTTTCTGCAGGGCTTGTGCCTCTGCTCAGAAGTAGGGAATAAGGAGATCTTCTTCCCTTTGTTTACAGAACCACAGAACAGTTTGAGTTGGAAGGGACTTCTGGCGGTCATCTGGTCCAGACACTGTGCTCAGGCAGGGCCACCTAGAACAGGCTGTGAATGACTGACCCATGTTTGCAAAGGTGGCATTCTCTGTATGGCTGCTCCTGCTGTGACACGATGGGCTGCCCTCCACCTGGCCACAGGAAGGGAAAGTTGAGCACTCAGGGAGCAGCGAGAGGCATCCTGGGGACATCCCAGCTGCATCCACAGTCCCCTCCCAGTGCCTTGCCCTGGCTGCCCAGGGCTCAGCACCAGCTCTCATCCCACAGCCCTTCTCCAAAGCTCATTGCACGCTTGAGCTGCCCCATGCTTCTCTTCAGCCCTCCTATGCATCTGCATTGTTCCCTCGCCAGATGTGCTCAGCTGCCCCAGACTGAACCCACTGGGATGTGCCTCTGCCTTCTGTCTCTTCGGGAAAGCAGGATTGTGGATGTGGGGTGAGCTGCAGGTCAGGAGGGGTGCAGGTCAGGAGGGGTGCATAGTCAGCTCCTGAAGGATGAATCTGAGCATGGGCACTCCACTCTGATGGGTGGTGGCAGATGTCTGTCCGTCCGTGTATCCTTCCGTTCCCTCCCGAGAGGCGGTCTGGGGGTCAGAGTGCTGAGTGTGACTGCCCTTCCTGGGACAGGGGCTCCTTAACACCATTTCCAGTTGCAGAGCACTCCATTTTGTCCAGCAGCAGAGTGAGAAGCACCACGGAGTGCAACAGAGGAGTGGGCAGCCTACATTTTAAGTACTTTCTTACTCCAGCGCTAGTGACCCTTTGCTGGGCCCAATGCCGGGCAGCTGTCGGGTGTCCATGGCAGTGCATAACATGGTGGCAGGTGCGAGGCCATGAGCATGTGGGGCAGTGGGGACACACAGCATTACGAGCTCACTGCAGGGCCCAGCTAGCACTGCCCCATGTGGGGAAGGGGCTGTGCCTGCGGCTCAGGACCACCGGCTTGCTGCTTGCTGCCCGCCTGTGCTGATTGGCTCCTCACCTCTCTCTCCTCCCTCTTGCAGCTTTAACTTCTCCCAAACCCAACCTGATGGGCCTGCCCAGCACAAGCGTCCCTTCGCCCGGCCTTCCCACCTCTGGATTACCAAATAAGCAGCCCCCGGCAGCGCTCACCTCACCCACCCCGGCACAGGGCACGGCCATCGCCCCGCAGCAGCCTCCGGCGACAACACCGCAGCCGCAGCCGCAGCAGCAGCCCCCGCCACCACGCAAGGAGAAGGAGGGCGAGAAGGCGAAAGAGAAGGAGAAGGCGCCCAAGGGGAAGGGGGACCCCCTGCCAGGGCCCAAGAAGGAGAAGGGGGAGGCACCGGCGGGTGCCCTTGCAGCCCCACTGCCTGCCATGGAGTACGCGGTGGAACCGGCGCAACTCCAGGCACTGCAGGCCGCCCTGAGCTCCGACCCTGCCACGCTGCTGACCAGCCAGTTCCTGCCCTACTTCGTCCCTGGGTTCTCCCCCTACTACGCCCCGCAGATCCCGGGTGCCCTGCAGAGCGGGTACCTGCAGCCCATGTACGGGATGGAGGGGCTCTTTCCCTACAGCCCCGCGCTGTCGCAGGCACTGCTGGGGCTGTCCCCCGGCTCCCTGCTGCAGCAGTACCAGCAATACCAGCAGAGTCTGCAGGAGGCATTGCAGCAGCAGCAGCGGCAGGCGCAGCAGCAGCAGCAGCAGCAGCAGCAGCAGCAGCAGAAAGCGCAGCAGCCCAAAGGAAGCCAAACCCCCGTTCCCGCGGGGGCCGCCACCCCGGACAAAGACCCTGCCAAAGAACCCCCCAAGCAAGAAGAGCAGAAGAACGCACCCCGCGAGGTGTCCCCCCTCCTGCCCAACCCCCCCGAGGAGCCCGAAGCAGAAGGCAAGGGTGCGGACTCCCTCTGCGACCCCTTCATCGTCCCGAAGGTGCAGTACAAACTGGTCTGCCGCAAGTGCCAGGCGGGCTTCGGCGACCAGGAGGCGGCCAGCGACCACCTGAAGTCCCTCTGCTTCTTCGGCCAGTCTGTGGCGAACCTGCAGGAGATGGTGCTTCACGTGCCCACCGGCAGCGGCCAGGGCAGCGGCTCGTACCAGTGCGTGGCGTGCGAGAGCACGGTGTGTGGGGACGAAGCCCTCAGTCAGCATCTCGAGTCAGCCCCGCACAAACACCGAACAATCACAAGAGCAGCAAGAAACGCCAAAGAGCACCCCAGTCTATTACCTCACTCTGCCTGCCCCCCCGACCCCAGCACCGCATCTACCTCGCAGTCGGCCGCTCACTCAAACGACAGCCCCCCGCCCCCCCGGCCCCCCCCCGGCTTCCCCCCACGCCTCCAGAAAGCCCTGGCCCCCGGCCGCCCCCCGCGCCCCGCCGGGGAAGCCGCCGCCGCCGCCCTTCCCTCCTCTCTCCTCATCTTCAACGGTTACCTCAAGTTCATGCAGCACCTCAGGGGTTCAGCCCTCGATGCCAACAGACGACTATTCGGAGGAGTCTGACACGGATCTTAGCCAAAAGTCAGATGGACCGGTGAGCCCGGCGGAGGGGCCCCGGGAGCCCGGCTGCCCTAAGGACAGTGGTCTAGCTAGTGTAGGAATGGACACCTTCAGATTGTAAGCTTTGAAGATGAACAATGAAAATGAATTTAAATAAAAAAAAGTTAATAACAAACCAATTTCAAAAATAGACTAACTGCAATTCCAAAGCTTCTAACCAAAAAAAGAAAAAAGAAAAAAAGAAAAAGTGTGGGTTGTTTTCCCATATAACGATGCCGGTGGGTTTTACATTTCTTTTTTCCTTTCCTTTTAATAAAATAAAACTGAAAAAAAAAAAAAAAAAAAAAAAAAAAAGACAAACTGTTACATTTGTCCTTTCGAAGGTACTGTTGGTCTGGGAGATGAGAGCCCGCGCTGCCTCCGTCGTGTCCTCGGAGCGGAAGCCCCTTGTACATTGCCCCTTCTGAGTACGCCCCACGTCAATAGCACAGCAGAGGCCGGCATGCACTGTATGGGAAAGCAGCCCACCTTGTTACAGTTTTAAATTTCTTGCTATCTTAGCATTCAGATACCAATGGCTTGCTAAAAGAAAAAAGAAATGTAATGTCTTTTTATTCTCAGGTCAATCGCTCACACTTTGTTCTGTTTTCAGAATCATTGTTTTTATATATATATATATATATATAATTTCTTTTTGTTTGTTTGGGGGTTTTTTGTTTTGTTTTGTTTTTGTTCCAGAAAAGGATTTTTTCTTTCTTTCTTTCTTCTTTTTTTTTTTTTTTTTTTTTTTTTCTTTTTTTTTTTTTTTTTGTTAATTTAAAATGGGCAGAAAGTATTCAAGAGAAAAACAATGTGAACTGCTTTAGCTTTTCGGGGATTCTAAGGGTAGCTTTTCTGCTGAAGCCAATTTCAAGGGGAAAAGTTAAGCACTCCCACTTTTCAGAAAAAAAACCACAAAGAGTGTTGAGGACTCGGAGCTTAAAAAATAAGTTTTAAAACAACTGACTTTCTGTATTTATGATAGATATGACCATTTTTGGTGTTGAGTAGATTGTTGCATTGGAAATGAACTGAAGCAGTATGGTAGATTTAAAAGAAAAAACCCTTTTGTGTACATTTAGCTTTTGTATGGTCCAGCTGACGGCTTCTCATTTGATGTTGTCTTGTTCATTCCTAGCCAGATAGATTGCAATCCATTGACTCGCCCAAGCTTTTCTCCCTTTGTACCTTTATCCCCACTTCCCCCATCCTGTAATCTTCCACTTATGGTTGCTACCTTCATTTCTTAGAGGGTGGTTGCATAATTATTTTATAAAAACTAAAGAAAGAAGTTCAAAGGGTTTTGGGGGTCAGTAGGATCCCTTGCAGAATATTTTTTGTTGGGGGTTTGAAACTTTTTAAGGCGAATACATACGATTTACCTATGTCTGTTACCCTTGTGCACTTATCTCTTTCTTATTTTCCATTCTTCTTGTTGGGTTTTTGTTGTTGTTTTTTTTTCCTCTTCTTTTCCTCATTTGTAAATGCTTCAAAGACTCTGTTCCTGAACTATACACATTTGTTTCCGTTTGTGTAATTAGGCTGCACTCTGTTCCTCCTTTAAAAAGAAAAAAAAAAAAAAACAAAAAAACCCAAGGTTTTGTTACATTCTTTTCTCTAAAGAAGATTCATGCTTTAAATAAAATCCAAAGACATACCCTTTCACCACTGGTGCAGAATGAGCAAAAAGGATTCTTTTTACTTGAGAATTTGTTTCTGATTAAACAAACAAGTCTAAGTTTAAATAAAGAATAAAAAAAAGTACCCAGGTTGTTATCTGTGCTTCTTCTGCAAGCAGAGAGACAACTCGCAGCGCACGCCAGCAGCCCCGGCCGTGCTGTTGGCCCCGGGGCGGCAGGGGGCCGCGTGCGGGCGCTGTGCTGGGCCGCCTGCGCTCCCCACCTCCTGCGGTCCGGACTTGGAAACTTAAACTCGGTGCTGCTACCACGCAGAGCCTGGAGATAAAGAGATGCTCGCTGCTCCACTTGTGTAGCCAAACGTCAACAGGAACGACGTCCTTCCCCCCGTGTCCTCTGCCCCAACAGCGTGAGAGCCTTCTCCCTGCCATCCTCCTCCTCCTCCTGCTTCAAAGGGAACTTGGATAACTGTGAACGTGGGCTCCTCCGCCGCCCCCGGGCTGAGGCCGTGCATCGCCACCACGAGAGCCCGGAGCGCCCGAGAGACGAACGTGGCTTTCATTTCTTAGCGGGACTCTTTTGTTTTTACGGAGTTTTGGTTTTAGTTTGACGAAAGACCAGATCCCGAACTGCTGTACATATTTCTAACTAGGCTAATGCACAGTGCAAATTCTTTTTTTAATTGTTTTTTAAGTAGACGATACTAAAGAGAGTACATCGACGTTCTCGCCAGGATCAGCTGTAGCATAAGGTGTCAAAACGGAAGCAAGAACACGAAACGCGATCGCTGTTTTAACAAACTGTTTTCTTTCAACAGAAGTTCTTGTATTTCTCCCTGTGTTTGAGATGAACATTTTTTAAATTCTAAAGTTGTACAGTTTTGGTTTTCCATTATTTTATCTTGTTTGTAATTCTATGAAATATATATATATATTTTTTGCCATTTAACTGTTGTATGTTACTCTGTCTGTACCATATAGAAATTTTTCGTTTGTTTTGATTCTGTGATACGAGATAACAGTTGAACACTAGGTTTATCTGTCAAGTTCTGCGAGGTCTCTTTGAAACCCTTTGGTTTTTGTTGGTTTTTTTGTTGGTTTTCGTTGTTGTTTTTTATTAATTATATTGCTTGGTCATAGTGCAATTTCCCTTTCCTCCTTCCCCCTCCTCCTTCCCACCCACTAAAAGGTTTTATAAATTCATTTCCTTGTATTTTCTGTAAATGTTTCCAGAGACTTTCGGTGCGAGGCTGCCTCCTCCCCTCACACGGCGCGGCGGGGGATCGGACTGCGGCCCCACGCACCGCGGCCGCTGCCCATGGGACGCTTGGGCGGCCGTGTGGCGGGGCCGCGTCCTCCTGCCCCGAGCACACCCTGCATCTGCCCGGGAGCGGGGAGGGCGAGGAGCGAGGAGACGGTTTTAAACATAGCATTGAGCGGGTTTCTGTTTTATTTTTAATAAAAAGCTTTTTTTTAAGTGGTGAAGATGGCCAAAGTTTCATGCAACTGAGAATACAGTAAGGTGAAAGGCGCGCGCTGGGGCCGCCCGCGCCCACGGGGCAGGTGGGGCGGGAGCAGGCGAGGAGGCACCGGCACCGCCAGCGCACCCGGCATTCGTGGAAATATATTTTGCTTTAGCAAACAAAAAATAAACCTTTAAATAGAAGCAGAAATGGGGTCGGTTGGTCGGTTGGCTGTCGGCTGGTTGGTCAGTTGGTTACTTGGTGGATGCTTGATTGGTTGGTTGGCGGTTGGTTGGTTGGCTGGTTGGTTGGTCGGTTGGTTGGTTGGCACTGAGATACTGCCCACTGTGAAACACAAAGCTTTGAATATTTTATTTTGGTTTTATTTTGGGGGGTGAGTTTGGGTAGAATGGAAAGCGTAAATGAGGTGAAAAGGGGTATGAACAGCCTTTGCAATGTACAAAAAATAGAGCAAGTGAAACCAAAAATGATGTTCTTGATGTTTTTCTATAATGTAGTCTTGTTAGCTTTTTTTGTTACTGTAACAATGCTGATCTCGAACTGTACCAAAATTCATGGAGACGAACAGAAACAGAAACCACATGGAACTTTCAAAACTTGGAAAGAATTTGTCACAAAAGACTTTGTTGTCATAGTTGAGTTGACTGTAGATGGTAATTGAATATACTCCTTTGGAAATATTTCATCACGTATGTTTCCTGCTCATTGTGATACATTAAAAAAAAAAAAAAAAAAAAAAAAAAAATGGGCAAAAGCTCTCGTCTCAATGTCCCGCTGGTGCGGTGCAGGGTCTGTGTCGGGGGCAGGCGGTGTGCGCAGGGCGGGCGCGATGGTGCGGCCGCTCCCCTCCCAGCACCCAGACTGCGGGTCGGCGGCACGGCTGGGCTGCGTTAATTGGAAGTGGGAGTGATGAGCCAGACAGGGCGGTTCCTGCTTTGTGTATGAAAAAGACGTTATAGGAGTGCATTTAATTTTACTAGATGGTTGTGTAAGAACTCTGGGTGCACTGCTGTAATTAACAGTTACAGGGAAAGCACGATGCCTTTATGAGTAGGGGTCATCTTGAAACCTGTAAGCTAGAAGTGAACTAGAGTCGCCAGCTGTTTCCTTCCGCTATGAAAGCAAAAGGTGGCAAAGGTAAGGCAGGTGAGTAGCTGATTCCCTGCTCATCCTTTTGCTGGCAGGGAGGAACTCATCAAACTGTGAGTGTTAAATCTGCAGTTTCCTTGCCAAAAATTGCCCCTTGCAGCAGACAACATTTGAAATTTGTTAATAAGGACCACATCCAACAGAGAGCCCTGGGGGCTACCATTCATCTCTAATTTATAACTACAGCAATGAATAACATAAGAAAAATGCAGGTGGGATGGGAACTCCGTTTCATGCAGGTGTCCTTGGATGGGCTGCAAGGGGCTTCCTTGGTCCATGGGGAAATAGAGCCCAGCACGCAGATCAGGGCTCACTCAGCCCACAGGGACACGAGGGCACTGCAGTGCATGCGGCAGAACGTCGCCTTGCCAGCCAGTGAGGCCTATTATAGGCTTGCTGAAGCACCTTCATGCCAAAAAAAGAGAGACTAACACTTGTATGGATTCAGGCTCCAACAGTGCATGAATTACGGAGTAAAGCAAGTTGAAATTGACTCCCGATGACTCCTGGTGCCAACACAGTGAAGTCACCCAAAGCCGGCCCCAGACTGGGCCAAGGAGGGGATCCTCCTGCAGCCATCGAGGCAGCGAAAGACGCACCCAAACACATCAACAAAGGCCCCCAGCTGTGCAAAGGGCAGCTTGGTGGGCTCACGCAGCACTGTAATGGCTCAGCATTGATGGTGTGTTTTTCCTTGTTGAATAATTTCCTTTCCAGAGATTTCCAAAAGAGCTTGGCTCTCTTTTCCACCGCTGGGTGCATGGGGCTTTTTGAGGATGGCCCATTTTTCCGGTACATGGAGCAGTGACATTTCAGGAGGTGCAGCCTACCCACCACACATCCCCTCCATGAGTCAGTTCAGTTACAGAGGGTGCGTATTTGTCAGCTTTATATGTGCTAAAAAAAATCAGTTGGTTTTTTTTTGGGGGGGGGAGGGGGTTGCCAGGAGGAGGGTGTTTTTTAATGTCATTTTCATGTTGAAACATGACAGATTTTTCCAGGACAACTGGAAATTGTTATCAATAACTTTAATGGCTGACGTAGGTCAGACACCATTTTAAATGTTCCAGCACAGGCCAGAAATACTGCACTGCAGCTTTAGTTGCAAACCACACATGAGACACGTCTCCTCCAGGATGGGCAGCTCCCAGCAGTACACTGCCCATGCCCACGGAGGGACTGTGCTCAGCACCTTCTGCCCTGCACTGTTCTTCCCAGATCACACCAAATCCAGATTTTTTCCCCGTGTCAGAAGATGGACATCTGCCTTCCGCGCCGTT